TCTTCTGCAAATAGCTAGCCAGTTATCTCAGCACCATTTATTAAATAAGGAGTCTTTTTCCCCATTGCCTGTTTTCATCAGCTTTGCTAAAGACCACATGTTGTAGGTGTGCAACATTATTTCTGGGTTCTGTATTCTGTTCCACTGGTCTATGTGTCTGTTTTTGTACCAGTACCATGTGGTTTTGGTTATTGTAGCCTTGTAATGTAGTTTGAAGTCAGATAATGTGACATCTTCAGCTTTGTTATTTTTGCTTATGATTGCCTTGGCCATTTAGACTCTTTTTTGGTTCCATATGAATTGTAAAACATTTTTTTCATCATGCTGGAAGGCTGTCATTGGTAGTTTGATAGAAGTAATATTGAATCTGTAAATTGTTTTAGGGAGTATGGCCACTTTAACAATATTGATTCTTTCTACCCATGAACATAAAATGTGTTTCAATTTGTTTTTGTCATCTCTAATTTCTTTGAGCAGTGTTTTGCAATTCTTGTTGTAGGATTCTTCACCTCCCTGGTTGGCTGTATTCCTAGGTATTTTGTTGTTTTTTGTGGCTATTGTGAAAAGGATTACATTATTGATTTTGCTCTCAGCTTGGATGTTGTTGGTGTATAGGAATGCTACTGATTTTTCTACAATAATTTTGTATCCTGAAACTTTGCTGAAGTTGCTAATCAGATCAAGGAGCTTTTGGGTAGAGACTATGAGGTTTTCTGGGTGTAAAATCTTATTCACACACAGAGATAGTTTAACTTCCACTCTTCCTATCTAGATACCTTTAATTTCTTTCTCTTGCCATATTTCTCTGGCTAGGACTTCCATTACTATTTTGAATAGGACTGGTAAGATATGGCATGTTTGTCTTGTTCTGGTTTTCAAGAGGTTGCATCAAAAACTTTTCAGAATGCATCATGTCCTCTTCTGAATAGATTAATTCCTTTGTATCACATAAATCAAATTCATATCTGGCCTCCTTCTCCTGAAATTTCATTGAAAGAGCAAAATGGAATTAAGTAATTCCATGTAAAACACAGACCATACATTATGCAACATTTAGACAATTTGACTTCCTGATAAAAATGCTGTCAGGAAAATTAAGTAAGGACAAAGTTTGGGATTGAGACACTATGCAACAGGCACATATGACTGCATAATCCATAATCTCTGAGCTATCTGATGGGTTAAAACAATCTTCTATGTTTTATGAGGCCAAAATTAAACATCTAAAGGAAATAAAGATTTGTGTTTTCAGGGAAATCAGAAGAATGTAAGAAGGACTAAAAGTAGAAAAATGTGTGCATTCATCGAAGTCATGGTAGACAGATGGCTGGTGCTGTTGGCCCCAAACTGATGATGCAACCCAAGTATTCACTAATGGAAGGACTGATTTATACTGGCTCTGAGAGAAATAGAAAAGTCTGGGGCCTGGGTTACCTTTGTGGGACCTCCTACCAGCATGGAAGTGCTAGAAATACCTCTGATGACCTAACAATGTAGACTTCCAGGACAGATGCCAACTTCTGAGACTGTGTACCTAGAATGCTTTGAAGACTTGGCTAAGAGACAAAATCCATTGACTGTGATTCTTCTTGGGTAACAGGGTAAAGAAGATGAAGACCTAAAACATTCACTTTGGCCAACATCAGTTATGAAAGATGAATAAGTTCTGCAGACCTACTGTACAGTAGTGTGGTTATAGCTAAAAATACTTTATTTTATACCTGAAATGGCAAGTATGTGAGCTAATGAATATGTGAATTAGCCACACTGTGGTGAAAATCTCACTACATCTCACTATATATATATGTATATATATACACACACATCACTTTGTATACCTTAAATACATACAATTTTTATTCATCAATTATACCTCAATAAAGTTTATAAAAACCATATCTAGCAGTACATCAAAAAGCTTATCCGCCATGATCAAATTGGCTTCATCCCTGGGATGTAAGGCTGGTTCAACATATGCAAATCAACAAACATAATCCATCACATAAACACAACCAATGATAAAAACCACATGATTATCTCAATAGATACAGAAAAGGCCTTCATTAAAATTCAACATCCTTCATGCTAAAAACTCTCAATAAACCAGGTATTGATGGAACATATCTCAAAATAATAAGAACTATTTATAACAAACCCATAGCCAATATTATACTGAATGGGCAAAAGCTTTAAACATTCCCTTTGAAAATGGCACAAGACAAGGATGCCCTCTCTCACCACTCCTATTCAACATAGTATTGGAAGTTCTGGCCAGGGTAATCAGGCAAGAGAAAGAAATAAAGGGCATTCAGATAGGAAGAGAGGAAGTCAAATTGTCTTTGTTTGCAGATGACATGATTCTATATTTAGAAAACATCAGCATCTCAGCCTAAAAATTCCTTAAGCTGATAAGCAACTTCAGCAAAGTCTCAGGATACAAAATCAATGTGCAAAAATCACAAGTATTCCTATACACCAACAATAGACAAGCAGAGAGCTTGTCATGAGTGACTCCCATTCACAATTGCAACAAAGAGAATAAAATACCTAGGAATACAATTTACAAGGGACATGAAGGACCTCTTCAAGGGAAACCACAAACCACTGCTCAAGGAAATAAGAGGGGACACAAACAAATTGAAAAACATCACATGCTCATGGATAGAAAGAATCAATATCATGAAAATGGCCATACTGCCCAAAGTAATTTATAGATTCAGTGCTATTCCCATCAAACTATCCTTGACTGTCTTTGCAAAAATTTTTTTAAAACTACTTTAAATTTCATATGGAACCAAAAAAGA